ACTTATATACCATTTCACGATGTTTTACAGTCCTCTCTAAGCGGTTTACAGAGTCAGCATATTGCCCCCAACAATCTGGGTCCTCATTTTACTGACCTCAGAAGGATGGAAGGATGAGTCAACCTTGAGCCAGTGAGAATCAAACTCTGGCAGTCAGCAGAATTAGCCTGCAATGCTGTATTCTAACCACTGTGCTACCACACAGTGGTGAAAATATTAATAGGAAAATATTATCACAGCCAAAATGTGTAAAGAATTTATCCTAAACTTTGATATCAAATATTTATGAATAGAGGACTGTGCTGCCATTCCATAAGTAAGTTAATTGAGTAGTACAAGCTACTAGATGCCACAAACTAGGTTCACACCTTATATTAAACTACTATTAGTTGAACAAGAGGCAAATGGATGGATCACCATCTTAAGGTATTAATCCAAATCCAAATAAAATCTCATTTGTGACTTAATACAATCTGTCAACAAAACCAAGGTGTTATCAGTTAAAAAGAACTTGAAATATAGTCATTTGGACTAACTAATTTCAGTTAACTTGTCAGCATCTGTAATAATGGACTGAGTAGATTTTAAAGTTTAGAGACAGAATCCAATATAATAATGGTACTAATAGGTCACTCAAATCTAAGGAAAATTTACTTAGAAAGGAGAATAAAAACAAAAAGAAACGTTTTTATTAGCACAAATACTAAGTTCAACAGAAATCAACTAAAGTATCTTTCATGCAGAATTCATGTTTTTGCATTTTTGTAGCTTAATTCACTTTTAATTTCTTTAGAGTTCAGCAATTCTAAAGCAGTGGGTGGACTTTTAAGTTTTTTTAAAAAAAATATCTGTTCTGATATTCTACCTCGTTTTTCAAACTTGGGGAGGTTATTGAAAAAGATAGAAGTAATTTTCTGAAAATGCACTGAATTATCAATCACCAAGACCAGAAAGAGAGTGTTGTGTTGTTCCCAGACTGAAATGTATTTTTTCAAAATTCTGGACAGCTAAAATGGCAGTGAGTTTTCTTTTATCACCGGATATAGGATTAAAAATCAATTTCCCATTTAATGGCACTCTAACTGGGGAGCAACATTTCCAAGTCATCTGTCTTTATGTGAGAATGAAAAGAAAGGAATGGAAAAAGGGTTTCTGTCAAACATACTGGAATCTTTTCAGTTTCTTACATTCAGGTAGCATAGCTCACATAGGCTATATTTGCGAAAGTCAGGACTAGAAGCTTGCTTTAAAAAAAAAATCAAATCAAAAAGTCAACACTGCTTTTTAAAATGTTATTTCTAACAAACTCTGCATCAAAGGGAGTTTCCTGTTATACAATCAATATGGATGNTCTACTTAACCTATTCTATTTTCCCAGGATATTGGCATGTTTAAGCATCCTGATGTTGTACCCCATCAACACATATGCAGGCTTTGCTGTGAGTCAGTGCTAACCCAACACTAGAGATTCTCCACTTGGTTCCATAATACGTTTCCTCAAAGGTGTACTCCAAAGGTAAGTACTCAGTAACTTAGAAACTTCCCCTCTTGTACAATTCCTCAAAGTCTCCAAGATTGTCCCACTAAAATTTGCTTGTTGCCAAATCAACATAGCTCTGTTACAGAAGCTTCCCCCACAAATCGCAGGAAAGAGCAAGTCCCGCTTACCAGGGATGTCACAAGCTGTAGTGTGAAGAAGGAATGGCCTTGAGGAACAAAGGGTTTCTATCAATGATCAGGTAAAAGAAGCCCGAGCCCTGACCAAGAATGCAATGTGAGTAAATGTCTCAGACAAGATCTTACCTAAGTTCACAGGAGGATAAAGGGAGACAGAAGGAAGCATTCTCAAACTTGGAAGCATCTCTGTTTCTATAGCTTTATAATAAATGTAACACTGATCTACATGGCATTAGGTTTCTACTCTGGGCTATTTTAAATGGTTGAGCCAAATTCATCTTTCCATTAGCAAAACACTGGAAAAATGGGTTTGAGGGGGGATATTCTGCCTCATTTCAACCATGGCCACTTTATTCTGAGACAACATTTATGTATAAGTGTTCCCTATTCAAGTACAAGACTATGCAATCAAGGAATCTGTATTTCAAATATGAGTGCTTGTTCATTTTCACAAAACATCATTGCCATGGGCAACCAACCCTGAAACAGTATTGGGCATCAATACTGTTTACAACTTTTCTTTCCAGCAAAAGAATGTTTGTACAAACCCAGGTCTAACATTCCTCTTAATAAAAGACAATCCATAAGTATTTCAAAAAGTTTTATAAAATACAGACGGAAGTGTTTTGAGGTGTCAGTTGTTTCAAATTTTCTGAGAGCATTTTTTTAGAATTTAGAGTCAACATTCTGGTAAAATAAATATATGAGGCTATTTAACTATAACAGAAAAGCAACATTTTTATGCAAAAAGTTTAATAATACAGCCATAGTTTTAATACCATCCAGTAAAAGTATACCGTAAAAATGTTCTAGGCATAGATTGATCTTAAAGAGGACATTACACAGCAATCCCATCCATTCTAACTCAGAGATAAGCTCTAACTATTTAATGGCATTTATTCCCGGGTGAGTGTGCAGAGGATTGCTATGCTGTAAACATTTGAAATACAACCCAACAAGATGTCCTGCTCAGAGCATCACTGAAATGAATGGGAACCAGGCCTGACTGGTGAGTCTTCCCAGAAGATCAAGCCTTCGCAACACAGTGAGGTAGACAGTAGAAACAAAGAATTCTTCATTAGCACGAAATTTTAAATCTTGCAGGAACATTTTAAAGTGGGGGGAAACGGTAACATTGCAGACATACAAATGAAACATTTGATTAATGCTTAAATCTGTACAGCTCAAATCTATTTAAAAAAATATTAGACAATTGAGTGCATATAATGCTCTGGGCATTCAGGGAAAGGGGGAAATGTACATTGCTCACCTCCATTTTTGTACTCTGCAGTCTGTTTTAAATAAATATTTACAGCTTCAATATGAACAAACACTGTATCCAAAACCAAAGTGTGCACTTTCTTTTAAATTATCGCTCCTGGTGAAGGCTTTCTTTTATTAGCATTTTATATTATTTATCTATTTATTTATACACTAATACGTCTTTCCTCCACTTTCCCCACCCTTTTGAAGTTCTAGGAAATCTTGAATCCCCAAGGAAATATCTCAGGAATATTTCCAAGTCTTGTGAGGTGCAGAGGTGCAGATTTGTGGAGCAGTGTTTAATTATTGTCTCTCTCAGCATCACATCTGCATTAACTATATAAACACCACTGGAGCTAGCCAACCTTCCTACCTGCCCTTCCTGGAACTTTTGAACTTTGAACATTTTGAAATTAAGGAGCTCTTTCATAACCCTCTAAACCAGAGGTCTCCAACCTTGGCAACTTTAAGACTGGCAGACTTCAATTCCCAGAATTCCCCAGGCAGCTTTGCTGCCTGGGGAATTCTGGGAGTTGAAGTCTGCCAGGTTTAAAGTTGCCAAGGTTGGAGACCTCTGGTTTAGAGG